AATAAATATTTGTAAAATTTAAAAAAAAAATGTAATTAATACTGTGGGGTGTTTGGACACCCCACTGAGAACTGTTGTTTTTCTCTTACTGGAATTTCTGCTGCATTGTAGTAATTTCTGAGCATGCTCTATACATAAAATCATGAAGCTACTGAAGAGGACACAAATATTTTTTGCGTAATCTATGAATAGTGCAACTTTTAAAACGTTGAGGGTGGCGAAACACCCTACTGCATTACCCCAGGTTAAAGAATAAATTTTATCAAGAGCTCTAGTAATCTTATCCAAGAGCATGAGTAATCTTAATCTGATCCAAGAGATGAATCTGTAGACAGAATGGGTAAAATTCATAATTAGTGGCAAGATTGAAAATTAGTAAAAAAAAATAAAAAGTTCTTAATGCACTTTTAGATGAGATAGATTTACATTACATGTCTTAACAATCTGAGATTTAACTATTTTATCAATATGACTTTTAAAAGTAAGTTTATCATCATAGATTATTCCCAGATCATTGAATAAGAATATTTAATAATTTATAACAGTACAGATAAGTGTTTCTCAAGTAAATGATATGAATAATAATGATCAATCTTTCAACAATACGGACATTTATGACTTTAAATGTGAATGTTTTAATTATTTAAGCTTTTAATATATTGGAAAATTGAAGAGGAATGTTTTATGAATTTTGGGGAAACATTGAAAATGCATTTTTCTAGAACTAGATGACTTGAATGTAGATTACATTGATATTTTTAACTAAGAAAACTTGTTTGTTTTTTAAATGGGAGATTCCTGCTTTGTTGAAAGATTTTTAATAAATTAAGTCAAGTTTAATTGAGAGAGTAATATTAATGTAACATAATTAATAGAAGCAGAGTCAATATAAACATCTTACTAAACCCAATACATTGCAATAATATACCTTCAACTGCCGTATATCATCGGGCTATAGTTTGGCAATAATAATTATAAATTACTAATAAATTTAACCCTAGAGGGAGGAATTAAGTGTCATCTTGTATTAAATTTAATAATTAAATATACCAGAAAAGGAAATCAGACCAGAGGTCTGGATAGTGTAACTGGCAACACATCTGCACAGTAAGCAGCGGGTTTGAGTCCCACTCCAGTCTGATTCTTTTCTTCTAGCTTAATCTAAAATTATTTAATTAAATTTATAATTATTAAATTTAATACACAATGGCTTATAAACTAAAAGCAACATAATGCTTTTAGTTTATTAGAAAACTATTTATATGAGAAGAAACCAATTTTGTGTTTTTACAAAATTAATAGCTAATGTTAAAATATAAGTAAGATTAGTACAAGCAGTGAGTGAAACTTCAAGATTCTAAGAATGTGTCCAGTCTAAAGAATATAAGTATCTGGCAGCTGATTTTTGGTTAAAGTGCAACTAGTTTGGGACTTTATAACAAGTCTTGTAGTTTTATAGTAATTGGGTCAATAGAAACATCCAAGCAAATAGCTGAATGATTAAGAGACAAATACATTAGTAAGGGAGTTTGACAACAGACAATTATTGTGAAAAGTGAAATTGAGGTAAGAATTGCTGCATGTAGGAGAAAAAATTCCTTGGGAAATATTAAAAAATACTAAATTTCATTGAGAAAAAAGGCTTCATCTAGTGATACTTTTGTTCAAAAAGTTAAATATAAGGTAAAGTTTTATGAATCTTTTATTAAAAATATTTAACAGTTTAGAATAGCCACATAATTGCAATCATCAAAAGTACAAAAATTCAAATCAACAGAAGTCCAAGAAACATTAGAAAGGTTAAAATCACCATATAATATAAATCTGCAGTTGTATATGGATTCAAGAATAAACATGATAACACTGAAGAATTTGAAATAGACTGATTCTTTTTGAGTAAAGAGCATAGATCATAATAATAGTCAATCTTAAATCTAGAATATTAATGACAAGGATTGAATCCCATTATTCAAAAATTTAATTACATAAAGAGATGGAGGTTAGATTAATAAAATTTTATCTCTCATATTGTAGAGTAAGTGAAATGAATTGGTAACCCATTTGATTAATAAAATTGGTAATATTGTATCACGAGAATCAGAAGTCATCCAACTTTCTAATATTATATATATGTGTAATATATATATATTAATAATGATATTTTTGATATATATATCAAAAATATCATTATTAATTATTAATACTTGGTTTAAAAAAAAAAAACTTATCTTTAATTGACCTAACATTCTGAAGAAAAATTTTTAATGAATATTATGTGCAGAATACACATTTTATAAAAAGTATAAATATAGAAATAATAAATAAAATATAATAATAACTGGGATGATGCTAAAAAAATCAATTTAACCTGAAAAAACAACAGAAAATTGTAAGATGACTTACAATTAATTAGCAACTTGCACCATCAAAATTTTTTGAGCAGAATTCAAACTCAACTTTGCTCACTGTGCAGTTGCCTTTCCAATTATGTTATCTGAATCTCTGTAGTGTGCACGAAAAGCAGAAGTTGCTTGTTCAAATTCTACTGCAGGATGATTTTTCTTTTAGAATTTTCTAACTTATTAAATTTAATTTGAAAATCAGTTCTAATTATCATAACATTAGATAGCAGTGTAACTTTTAGATCACATTTTGTTGTTTAATTAATTTATGTAATATAGCCAAAAAATAATCTAGCAATTCAGATTTCTACTGGTATTTTGTTTAATCATATGGTGTTTTTATATAAATTTATGAGAAAAAATAATTGGATTTAATTAACTCAGTAGTCTTATAAATTGAATAGCATAATGTTTTAAATTTAATTACTTTATAAATTTAATATTAATGTTAAACTTTTTTCTTACAGCTTCTGTAGTGGGTATCAGATTACATATAGCTGTAGCCAGTTGTTGTGTTGCTTCTAGTCTATACCTTCTTCTTATTAAATAAGATGTTGACTTTTTGTCCTATCTGTGCTAATATTTTGACAGTTGAAGAAGGTGGAAGAGGCTATCGATTTGCATGTAGTACATGTCCATACATCCATAACATCTCCAGACGAATTAGCACTCGAAAGTATCCAAAATTGAAAGAAGTAGATGATGTATTAGGTGGAGCTGCTGCATGGGATAATGTGGACTCTACTGAAGAACCGTGTCCAAAGTGTGAACATGCAAGAGCCTATTTCATGCAGCTACAGACACGATCAGCTGATGAACCAATGACCACATTTTATAAATGCTGTAATCCTCAATGTGGTCATCGCTGGAAAGATTAATTACTATGAAAATGAATTTGAGTTTGAACTTTGAAAATATTTCTCTTGATAATTTATACTTTAATTTCATGAAATGGTTAATAATAAGAAGTTAACTTCAGGTAATTATATTGATGCAAGTTATTACAATTTATATATTAATTCTGGAAATATATTATTAAATTGTATTTATCAATAAAATTAAGAGTTTGACTTCAATATGATGTGTTCTGTTTACTTTTCATATTTATTTTTTAAAAAAGACACTTATTACAGTAAAAAATTGTTCATCTGAAAAAGGATCATAATTTATCCTAATGAATTTATTAAGACATCATTTTGACACAATTATAACAATAAAGAATAAAATATAAATTTTTTGTTTGCAATATCTTAGAAATTATGAATTTTTATAACCTAATTTTTACTTAATAAAAAAAAAAACATTTTTTTGTGTAAAAGTTCATATATCTTCATGCTAAGTATTTTTGAAATATGCCTGTAATAGTATTTTTTATTGCTTTACCAATTTTCATTAATATTTTCTACAATGTAATTTTCAAATGAACAATATTTATTACTTAAATTTGCTGGGTTTTTTTTATTGTACTTTTAATATTTTTACAGCAAAATTACTTTCCTATGTACATACTATTTAAGTAATGATAATTTTTCTTTTAATTTACAAGACATTAAATTCTTTTAAAAACACTTGTGTTACAAAATTTTAAAAGGCTGCTTTGAATTATTATAATTCATTTAAATTTTAATTAACGTATGTTGTTAATGGCATATGCTTTGTAGTATCATAGACAGACATCTGAGCCCTTTGTTTTTTGTAAACATGATAACAGAAAAATATTGTAACAATTAGCCCGCTAACAAATGCAATTGAACCAATACATATTCCTGCTATGGCTCCGGGAGATAGATCACCTATAAAAGTGAATACATAATTTATTTGATTTTTCGAAGTTAAGAAAACAATAAAAACAAAATTTACCATATTTTGCTCCTGATGCTCTTCTTCCAAAATCAATTCTGTCTATTTGGCTTGTCACACACAAAATGCATTGTAATGTAACTGTAAATTATAAATGTAAGAATAATAATAATGAGTTTTCATGCAGTAATTTAAATTTTCAAATTTTAAATCAAATGTTTTTATAGTTGATTTAAAGCATAAAATATAAGAACTCAAAAAATAAGATGCAGGATAAAGACAACCTAAAAATTCAAAATATCACTTAAAACTACTATCATATTTTCATTGAATTGTAAATATTTCTGAAATTTCAATAATTATTCCATGACGTTTAAGGTTAATTAATTTCAACACTTGTTATACAACTATCCAAATTCATTCTTATTCACTTATTTAAAAATTAATTAGTATAAAATAAGAGAACACTTTATGAAAACTATTGCTGCTGCGAATTATTCCTACCTACATAAAACAATATTGAATGCAAAGAATAAGTTATTATTTGGGAAATTATTGAGACCTTTTTATCTTATTTTTTAGATTAAATTGATGGAACAAGGCAACACTAGAGTAAATAAAGTTGTACTGCCTGTAACATGAGAATTGAATTTTTTATAGTTTTTATTAAAAAAAATGCTTTTCTGAGAGAACCTCAATCATTTTTAGTGCAAAATAATTAAACTCTATTAATTAAAATGCATTTTTTTCGAAGATATTTTAAATATTACATTTGAAAATTTCTTAAACCGTAATGATTGAAAAATAGTCATGTAATTTTCGACCTATCGAACTTTCATAGCTCTAGTTTTCTGAAAATAAAATTGAAAAATTGCTAATTTGAAATTTTTCTCAATTTTCTGATTTCAAAATCTCTCGGAAGTTTCTTACATCATTTATACTTGATTTAGTTTTCTTCTAAGTAGAAAATATAATCAGTTTGTAACGCAAACACGGGAAAAGATAACTAATCTTTTAATTGATAAAAAAAAAGTTCTTGAAAAATAACTAATAAAGTAATAATTCTTAGACAAATTTGTATTCTGACTCATATTCATTCAGAAGTTGAATTTATTGCTAATTCAAACTGTTACCTCTAACATTTTCTATGTTCTATGAATTAGAAAACATGAACTAGAACAGCGGTTTTCAAAGTGTGCGCCGCGGCTTCTTCACGGGCGCCACGAAATATAAAATTTTCATAATTTTACTTCTACTTTCAATTCAGTGTTTGACATCTAGCACACCTGGTGCAAATTATTAACTCAGCAATACAGGTGGCACACAGAATCGCAAAATGTAAAAAGCCTCATATCATCGCAGAAAAACTCATTCTACCGGCTGCTGTAGATATGCTAAATACTATAAACGGTGCAGCTTTCAAAAGTGCCTTTGCCCAATAACACCATCAGTGGCAGAATACAGAACATAGCGAAGGACCTCCAATGTTCAATTAATTGAAAAAATGAAAGGAGTCTGGATTGCAGCTGGATAAGGACACACATAATAATAATGATGATGCTCACTTGATTTGCTATGTACAGTTTATAGATAATAATAACATTGTAGAAGACTTTCTCTTTTGTAAAAGTATCACTGCTGACAGCGGCGGCCTTATCCATTGCGTGGCTCTGGGCGGCAGATCTTTGCGAGGCCCTTGTCCTTTGTGCAAAGTATGTGAATTGAAATAGTAGGCACTTATTAATATTAATATATACTGTACTATAAATTAAATTTATTTTATTGTTATAACTAATAGCCAAGGATAAAATAAAAAGTTTTAAATATCAACTTTTTTCTACTTGGTTGTTGCGCGAGGCCCCTCCAAGAGCGAGGCCCCGGGCGATTGCCCTGCTCGCCACCCCCTAAGGCCGCCACTG